TATGCTCTGTTTAATATACACATTTAGCTGATTGGTTGAGCTGTGAATGATTAGATATAAAATTAAAATAAATTATTTTATTTTACTTATTTATATGTATTCTAATACATTATATATATATTAGTCATAAGTTATAACATTAATTTTTATTTTTAATTAAATTATTATTTTATTATAATACTATTTCACAAATAATATGACAAATAAACTAATGGTATATATTAAGTTTTCATTTTAATATAAATATATGTTTAAGAATTATAAATTTTAATATTTAAGTTATATTTATATTAAAATTTATTTAAAAAATAATAGAACAAAAAAAAATGATAAATATTAATATATGTATATATATATGTTTTATAATTACAGAAATTATGTATATTTACTTTTATTGAAATGCTTGTATATATTAGATTTAGAAATTATAACATAAATTTCTTTTATAATCTTTTCGAATTTAAATTATATTTAATTGAATTAGTATTATATTATAATATTATCTTAATATAATAGAATAAATAAAATAATGATAAATATGAATTTAAATAATTAAAAGTTAGTATAATTTTTTTTTGTTGTAATATAAAATAAATTGGTTAGTTATATAATTTTTAATTTTTGTAAAATATTTAGAGATCAATGCTCTGGAAATGCTCCATTTGAGAGTATTGAGGGATGAGCATTTTGAGAGCATTTGCAGTTACTAAATGCCCTACTTAATGCTCTGTCAACCAATAAAGTTTTAATGATAAAAGACATAATACTCTTTAAAATGCTCTACCAATCAAGCCCATATATGTCTTGAATCTTGATCAAGGGAGGATACGCCTAGGCTGTTAAAAGGCTCCTCTTTCTGATTTTAGAATGCTCCTAGTTTGGTATCTTGCTATGAGTGTGAACACATCCTAGGACGGAAAGTTTGATTTTGTTCGGCTCCAAAGGCTTTAAGACTACTTCTAGAAGACTCTGGCTATTTTGAACCCTGTAATTCATAAGGAGGCTTCATATAGAAACTCTTTAGATTAATAACGTTGGGAAATAA